CCAGGACTGGTCCTAACAGGACCTGGTCTGCAGGTCCGTTCAATAGGACTTATAGGTCCCAGGACCAGGACCGGACCAGGACCGACCTAACCATCCCTATTTGCGTCCCTCAGATACTTAATGTTTTTGAACTCGTGGCTGCACGTGATCAGGTGACAGATAAATGTCACTTGTTCCTTATATGGTGAAGATCGATACAAACCGCGCCCACAAAACCGGAGTGCATTACTCATGAGAAGTGATTCATTTCTTTCGCTACTGATAAACTTACAACAAGCCACCGAGTCTATTTTATCAGTCATGATGAGGTTTTTACAAGTATATATACCTCCAAAAAACTCTTTCAACATTTTTTAGCTTACTTCAACTTATTTCTTTTTGACTTACATTTGTTCACTCTTATTAGCAATATCATCGAAATGGCACGGTCGTTCAATTGTTTATTTCTAAACCCTGAAATTCTAATTCCGGTTTCCTTTTTCAATGATAATACTGAAAAGTTCACCATTCTTCAACAATATGATCATAAACTAAAAGTCTACTTAAGCGAACTTACAGTTGTACTTCTCAAAAATGATATTTGTAGTAAGGCAAATGTTAATTCCAACAATATGAAACTTTGGAAAGTTAATGTTAAGAAAAGAGAAATCAAAGATAAAAATGTTTCTACCGAAGAAGACATTGTACAAAAACTTGGTGGAAAAGAAATGGAACTTGAAGAACTGTTTGAAGAATATTTTAAAGATGAATTAAATAATCAAAATTATATAGTGTCTAACATCCACATTATTGCCATCTCCGCTACTGGTAAGTGTCACCCAAATTTCTTATTCTAAAGATAAAAAATTGGGAGACATTGACTAACTGATTTCACTTCTTCCTCTTCCTTCACACATATTTGACTACATCATATTCACTAGAGTGGAGCATTGATTTGTCGGATACATCGACTGTCGTTTCAAATGTAGATGCGATTCTCTCTGATTTCAGAGAACTTTTTAAAAGATGCTGTTGTGAAAAGCTTAAACTTCCTATTTTTAAGCCAGATAAAGCTCATCCTTACTATAATGCCATCCGAGATCTCCAAATTCCCTCAAATCCCAAATACAAACAAAGACCTTTACTCCTCATGAATGATCTTCCTACAATAAATGGAAATGATGGGCTAACCGACACTACTGTTTTAGAAGACCTTTCACAGATAAAAGAGATCATGATAGTCATGGGGACTTCTGGCTCTGGGAAGACAAGGACATTAATTGAATTGTTATGCAAGAAGTACGGAATTTATTTTACAGGTCTTGTAAAGGAGAATCCGGGTTCGGGTGATCTTCGTATGATGATTGATCATATATTTCCAAGATTAAAAGAATCATTACCTAAAAATGATCTTTATGCTACGAGATATAGCAAATGTTTATTGTTTGCTCGAATTTATACTCTCAATTATATATTGGAAAATTACGGAAAAATAAATCCTTGCAATTGGGCTATCTTACAGCTTTGTCCAACTGTTTTTTTTGATTATGATATTTTTGAGGAAATAACCTCGGAATTCAGAAAAATCTCAGAACAATATTTGGATGATAATCTTCGAAAATTGATTCGTAATATATCGCTTCTTGTAAATCAGGTAAGATTTTTACATCTGCTTTGTTTTCATTTCAATCTGTTTACTTTATATTATGTACTGTTAATTTTTTAGAAAAGGCTACCAGTAATTTTGGACGAGGCCCAAGAACTCATTGATCGATTTCATAATAAGTTCACCTCCACTACCGACAAGGATAAAAGTCGACCATTGTATTCACTAGTTATTAGAGCTTTTACAATTTCGGGCATATGCGTTATTCCTTCAGGAACTGGTTTAACTATGAAGTCGGTACTAGATATTACTGGTTCGCATGCCATGAAGGGAGCAACTTGGAATTATGAAGATTTGATTGTTATAAAGAATGAGTTCGGTTCAACTAAAATGCTCAGAAATTTCCTATCAAAATTTGGGTTTCCATTTGATGATCACCAAGATATTATGTGGTGGTTTGTAGGACGAGTTAGGTTTGCAACAACCTTTGTTGAAGAATGGTTAAATAACAATTATGGTATAGATGAATTGTTTGCGAAGTTCAAAGGATATTACACAGACCCGGACAGTAATAAAAGCATTATGGTTAAAATTGTCAATCGGACAAACAATGATACTATACGACAAGGAATAAGGAATAATTTAAAGGAAGGTGAAAGTGAAGTAGATATTTTATCATTATTGGAACGAGCAGTGATAAAGAATTGGTTCGATGGCCTTAATTCAATTATCGTTGAAAAAGAATCTGCCTTGGAATTATTTGAATATGGAGTCGCTCTATTGCATAGAGAAAAAGATAGTAAATTGCAGATTATTATCAGTGAACCCCTTGTAATAGAGTCTGCATTGCGATATTTCTTAAAATATACTGACTTTTCTTTGCATATTTTGAGACGGATGTCTGATATAGATTTCTCTCCATCTAGTATGGGGATATTGTGGGAGCTTCTTATTCCTAATGCAATTATTAAGCTTTTCCAAGATGAAGGTGTTCGTGATATATTTAAAAAACCGCTTCCATACAATGATTGGAAGATTTATGAACCACCTAATGGCTCACTCTCTGTTCTAGCAACGCGTAGTACTTCTGATTATACTCTACCAAATTTTTTGGAAAACCCCGTTTCTCCTTTCTTTTATCCAGAAAATGTTGCAGGACCAGATGTAGTAACAGTAATGTGTCCAGTGGACTCGGACAAAAAGTATGTTGTCATTTATGTCATTTATACAGATAATATACTGTATATTAATGAAATATTGTATATAATTTTAGATATCTTGTCTTAATTCAAGCTAAGTTTCGATTAAAAAATAAAGGCGATGTTCTATTAACTACCGATCCAAAAAAGTTTTACCATACAAGACCGGAGAATAAGGGAGTTGAAGCTAAATTGGTACTATCCTTTTAAAATTTTGTTTATGTGCTTTGATTTACAATAACTTATAATATTAATAATTTTTTTTTTGAATCCTATAACTAGTTGAAAGGGAAAGTATATGAAATATCTTATGACAAGGTAACAAAACTGATCAAAAAGAATTATGATGGTATTTTTAGGATTTTCATCAGTTATCCTGCTGAAGTAACACTAAAGGAGGAAATTGAAGCTAAGGAAATGGAAGTTGAGGAAGAAGAATGGGTTGCAATTATTGACGCAAGTAATTGTAATCGTATTTTTGAAGAAAAACATATTGAAATGTTCAAGGAGTTAAAGAATCCAGGAAAGAGAAATTTTGATAATGGTCAAAATTCATCTAATAAAAAGCCAAAAGCTCTGGCAGAGGTAAATGAGGCAGAGGTAAATGAACAACATGAAAAGTAACTTTAGGCAAACGTACTGCATCATATCCTCCTCCGTCCCAGCGGATCAATGATCAAGAAATAACAATAATATATAATATAATGAAAAAAAGCAAAGCAGTAAATTACGAATTAATTTTTACTTCAAATCACAAATTAATAAACGCAAGTTTAATGCATAAACGCGAATTTAATGCACAGATTGATAATGAATGAATTTTACATATTTGAATTATTAGTAAGAAACCATCTGGATGATTATAATCTCTGATTTATGTATAGTGATAGAGTTTTATTTTTTTTGCAAATATCATTTATAGTATCATAAAAAGTTTTATCAATACAGGTTAAAAATTATCAAAACAGTGTTCTTGACGTTATAAATTCAAAGCTGTGATTAGATTTCTTGTATGTTTTCTTGTGATCTAATGATAAGCAACCTGTAAATTATGGTTTTCTTTTTTTATTCATAAACTCTATACACTTGTTACCCATCTTAATCAATCCTCCAGCAAGTAAAGTGGACGGAAATCCAATTCTGAGCACGAAGTACTTGTTATGTTTATCACATTAGTACCAATTGAGATAAAAATCAGCAATCCAGGATAATCCTTCTCCGGGTAAAGAAATAAAATAACCATGGTATTTCTTTTTTGTTGAT